AGAGCTATAATTTGGGTGTGTGAGACAGTGAGAGTCATGTATTCTTTCTTGAACATGGGAGGCCCATCACTTCCATGTTTGTTTCTTGATGGGTGGTGGCTCCATTAGAATTCAGCCATGAAGTGAGCCCCAAATCAATTGGGTGCTCACACTATTAAAGGAGAAAACTACACAAAAGTAACAACCTCGAGATACAGATATTTACTATTTCATTACATGCAAAGAATCACACATCAATCTAAGCCACAAATCTTAAAAGCAAGTTTGGTGATTTAGCAAGTCTAGAAAAAAAATGATATTCATCACATTAGATGATCTCAAAGGTTGCTCTAGGCCAAACTTATGCATCCATTAACTTCACAAAAATCAGCTTCAACTATAATTCCCTACAATCCAACCAATCTTAACCATAGCAATGATCATAGATCAATACTTTGGAAAACTTACAGAAAAAGAGACCCTCGCTTTGTCTTTCCCTAAATTGGTGTTCCTTGTGTAAGGCCGAGAATGAGGACTGTGTCCACTTGCTGATCTCCTGTTCCTTTGCTACAGCTATATGGAGGTGGAGCTTTTGTTTATTTGGAGGTAGGTGGTCTTTGCCTTCTGATTTAAGCTTGTTATTCAAACCATCTGTCTTTGTTTGGCACACTAGAAGAGGTAAGGTCATGTGGAAATGTGTCAGGGCAGCCACTCTGTGGACTCTTTGGGAGGAAAGGAATCCAAGAATCTTCTTAGAGAAGGAAAGAGGGTTAGATGAAATGAAGGATTGTATCCTAACAAGAACAATCCATTGGCTGAAAACTGTGGATATCTTTGATGATTTCTCCTTTGATGATTTGTGGAGAAATTGGCTAGTAATAGCTAACACTTCAACAAAGAAGGATAGAATTCTGTCAAAATGGATTCCGCCTGTGGAAGGTGTCATCAAGCTGAACCTTGATGGAAGTAGCCAAGGCAATCCCGGGCCTTCAGCTATAGAGGGTATTCGGAGAAATAAGGACAGCAACATAATTTCCCTACTCTCAGGACCGGTGGGAGTGGGGGATTCCACAAGGGCAGAAATCCTTGCTGCAGTACAAGGAATTCAGATCGCCAACCAGCTTGGGGTGGAGCATCTCCTAGTTGAAGGGGACTCTCAGGTGGTAACHAGGTGGCTCCKAAACTTGGATACCACCATTTGGGGCTACAAAGATCTCATCAAAAAAGTAAAGTGGTTAACCAGTAATATGAGAGTTGAGGTAAAATGGGTTAGTAGGTCTGCTAATTCTTTGGCTGATGCTTTAGCCAAGCAGGGGGTTTCTAGGGAAGATCTTTTTTCTGCTTCTATGTAAGTTGTTATTAATGTGGAAATCTGTACGTAACTAGCCCGGAGAGGTTGCAACTCGTACCTCTCCTTGAGGACTTTGTAATATTGTCTATTGCTGTTTTATAAAATCATTTCAATTATCAAAAAAAAATGATCATAGTACTAAATAAACAACACCAAAGTTTAGGCCATGGATAGCCAAGACAACAAGACCATCATTTGGCAATTGACTTTTCAATATTAGATATTTTTAAACAGCATAAAATAGCTCTGATACCATGACAACAAACATAAAATAGAATAGAAACTCAAGGAGGAAACAAGAAGAAATAGAGAAACACCAAAGTTTAATGTGGTTTGGCTTGGTAGCCTACATTCATGAGAGGAGAGGAAATATATCCACTATGAGAACAAGAGATACAACTCTCTCTCTCTCTCACACACACACACACTTCCTCACTCCTTAATCTCGCACACCAACTTGATTAAATAAGCAAAAGACCAAAATACATCAGAATTACAAATAGGTCCCTATAACTTATCAATATTACAAATACAATATATCTCATCAAAAACCGCTTTTTCTAACATAAATACATATAGGTCCCCATAACTTATCAATATTACAAATACAACCAAATACAATATATCTCTGAACAGATATAATGGGATGGACCAGAGATACAAATCCATACACCAGGCTATCTATTACCAACTCCATGGCTACCTGAACAGTTCAAACTTTTTTTATCTCAAAAATAACATAAAACATAAGTTCATTCCTCCATTCTCCTAAAAGAGAAACCACAAATATTGCTACTAATCTCCTCTCCTCTAATGGAGGACATACTACAAGCTCCATATAGGGTCAAATATCCCCAGGATAAGTCCATCAATCATCAAACAAAGCCAAGGAATGGATTCCAAATGATAGGGCAACGCACTAATGAAAATATATATGGTTTACCAATTCACCTTCAAGCAAAAATAAAATGCGGACATGGAAGATCTCCAGTATCCATAAGTATTTTATCTTTTGAGTTACACTTCTAACCAAATACCTTGTATTGAAGAGATTGTTGGGACTAATACTTGAAAAGGATTACCACTGCAAAGAGAACTGAAATGAGAAGCTTATATATGGTATCAAGGAGTCTGCACATCTCTTAACCCAAATTACTTTAACTTCCATGTCTCTAGTCAGACACTTGAATCTTCTCTTTTCATTGCTGTACCTCCACATCCCATTTTTGACTCCCTTCAGCCAGTCCACCACCAGCTTGGAGTCTCCTTCGAAGATCAGCTTCCTTATATTTATGTCTTTAGCTCTCTGAATACCTTCCAATGCCGCCAAAATGGAAGAACCCTCTATTGGAAATTCAAGCAGATGGTATCCTTTTTCAGAGCATGTCAGATGTGTTATGTTCTTATGAGCTATCCTCCAAATGAGTCCTAAATCCTTGAAAATATTGCCCCCAAAGCATTTTTGAGAAAGCCAAGCACCAGGAGAGAAGGCGATACATAAAGTCTTGAATTTGAAGAATGAATCAAACAAGATTATCTAAATATATTCCTAAGACCTATCATCAAGCCTTTACCAATGGCAGAAGCCTAGCATCCATAAGTACCTAAATTAAGTGATTTCCACAATTTTAAATTCTATCTGTTGTGTTTGGAATGTTGCAGAAAGAAATCCACTTCCTTCACTAATATATTCCTAAGAAATCCACATGTTTTGGTTACATTTTGAAGTCGAAGATTTAGCATCTCTAATACAATATTGCAGTAGGCAGGGACCCTCGCACTAGCCAATAATTACCTGTAATTCAAACCCTGAAGCAAAGCTGCATCTTTGTTTTAATGGAGTTGACAGAGTAGAACCTGAGTATACCAATATGATCTTCCCCCTTGATCTCTGAAAGCACTCATCTCTAAGGGTCATGGAAAAGAATGTCGACTGGCCAATGCTATAGCAAATAGAAATATGTTGCCATCTTAGCCACATTTAAGCTCTGTTTGAATATGGGAAACTGGGTTGGATCCAGGTATTACTCCTTTCATAGGTAGCAAAAGATGCAAATTTGAGATGAATGAACATGAATAAAATAAAAATTAGGGAGGCTAGAGATATTGCTGAAGAAAGGACCCTGCCACATTACCTAAATCATCAACCAAGGTTCTTTTATGAGTAACTGAAAGAATTTTATTAATATTTAAGGGAGGTACAAGAATAAGGATACACCTATAGGGTTTTTTCGAGCCTCATCTAACAACACCAACCAAGGTATTTTATTCCCTGGGGATCTATCTCATCAAGGAAAAAAGGAACTCAAAATATCTCTAATGTTGTTCAGGAAATGAGCAACTCTCCATTAACTGGAAGCTGCTCTCCGCACCCATGTGATTGCATTCACTCTCTGAGAACTAACATCAAAGGAGGTCTCATTCTTTTAGCAATTTTTGAACCAGTTAGTAGGGCAGGCTTTAGTAGCATCAGCATCCCCAATAGGCCCATACTAAAAAACCATACAAATCTGCTTTCTATGACAAAGAACACTCAAGGTTGAAAGTATCTATACACCCTGACAAGGCAGAAGGGGTATATCAGTACTTTGAATCTTCCACTTTATTTTTTCTTTTTTCAAAATTTAAAGGGAAGCTGCATTTAATGTTTATTGCCATTTAACACAACCCTTTTTAAAAAGGTACCCTAAAAACTGGATATTGGCACCCTCCCAATACGATACATACTGGCCGATACGGGCCAATATGTTCTGAAAATTTGATCCTTGAGAACACCCATCCAACCCAACAGAACCACGGTTGCTTTGCAAGTTGTGATTAAACGAGAGGGAGATTTTCTCAAGGTAGGAATAAAAGGGTAGGATCATAGAATCTCTAATAGGTTCCCCTGCATCATGTTGAGAGTAATGCCTTTGAACACCTCAGTGGTACCCCATACTCAGCAAGGAGCTTAACAGAAATATAATATACTGCCCGAGGTTTTAACCCTTAATTAGTAGACATGGCATTTCTTCAACAACTTATCCTAACATCTTATGCTATCAACCGGTAATGTGTACCAACAAATTTACAGAAAATACCTTCCGAATTAAGAATGAACTTCTACAGGGGGTGCAAAGCAGAAAAGTCATCAATTGTGAGATTATTTTATTTGTTTTTTATATTAAGAATATTTTATTTGTTTATAATAAATGATTAGGAAAACAGTTTCATAAGCACATAGATAGCTGGTTGTCAGTTTTTCCAATACAATATAGGCATCTAGTTCTCTGATTGTAACATTTCTAAGTAAATACTGAATTATTAACTTTCATCACCTAGAAAAGGGTGCATTTTCCCACAATAACCTCGCTACTAGATATAATAATAATAAAAATAAAAATTTCTACCAGATAGTATTACAACAACTGATTATTTATTTTTTTATCAGTAGTTATGAAAAAGTGATTATTATATAGCATGTATATAGAAAATGGGCTTTAATGGGATGGTAGCAAGAGTTGGCCCAAATAAGGTGTGCTTGGGCCTTGGGCAAATACTGCTTTGCACTCAAATTCTTTTTTATCAGCATTGTTTAACACCCATCTTGGAATATATTTTTTCTGTAAGATAATCTCAATTTTTTAAACAAGTTTATGATAAACCAACATCATTTAAAAGTTGGACGCACCATTGTTCTTGAGATTAAAACCTTAATGCTGACCATGGCTCTTGCTCACAGAGTGGCGTGGTAAGACCTTTTGGCCTGGAGTTAGGTGTTCATCCTGTAAGAAGAAGTTAGATCAGTGTGCAAGCAGGGAAGGGGTATAAAGAATGCAAAAAAGAAAAGAAAAAGAAACAAGGCTGAAAGAATAGTTGTGATTAGAGCATATCCCATTTTTGAGAAAGAGTGCACTCCTAGTTAATAGACCACAAGTTATGTCTTAAAAAGACAAGCACTACTATGCACTTTGTATTTTAATAGGGTTATCTTTTGTCTTTTCATGGGGATGTACCCCATTTATCAAAACTGGGATGTGCCGTAATCAGCATTGCTAAAGAACCTCCAAAAAACAAAACCAATGGATATACTACTTTACAGACGGATATTAAAAATCCAATACAATAACATGAGAACATCAAACATCAATGTAAAAGACAACAAAGACAAGTAAATAATACTATATTATTTGATTGTTCAGGTAACAAGTACATTTTAGAAAACAAGGAATTGTTAAAACATTAATTAAGAAGGCACATGGTAAAAATATCAAAGATCTCATTGGCAGTAGAGAGACAAAATTATTTATGAATTTCTAATTGGGTAGAGTGTTGGAGGTCATAAGGGCTTTACTGTTATGTAGGTGTTTTAATGTCAACTCAGTTCAAATCAGAGAAGAAGAACTAGGAAATGAAAGGGTGTGTTCACCTTAGTCATATGCCCAGAAATAATTAACTTATATAAGAAAGAGTACAAGGTTGTGCCTTTCTCTCACAAGAAAGAATAAAACAAAGAAATAGTGTACACAAGTTACAACATAAAACAGTCTCTACACCCCCCCTCCTCTCAAACTAATCCCAAGGTACGAGCATCAGTTTGTCAACTAGAAACTGGTGGCGAGCACGGGTCATAGCATTCGTGAATAAGTCAGCAAGCTGTAGGGCAGAAGACACCAGCAAAGATGTGTGTCCAACAGAAAACCGATCTCTAATGAAGTGGCAGTCAAATTCTATATGTTTGGTTCGCTGATGGAAGACAGGTTTGGATGCAACTAGAGGTGTCAATTAGATGGATTTGGTCCAACTCGATCCAGTCCAATGTGAGTCCACTTATAAATGGACTGGACCCAATCCAATCCAAATCTAATACAAACCAAATCCAATCCAATCCATTTAAATCCATTAAAATGTAAATGGATTGGATTGGATCCAATCCAAAGCGAATGAAATATCAAAAATTATATAAAAGCACTTTTGTAGTACTTTGATAAAAATATTTTCATAAAAGTGCTTTTACAAAAGCACTTTATTGAAAGTACTTCAGAAAAGTTCTTTTGCAAAAGCACTTTTTGAAAAGTACTTCCATAGACTTATAAAAGTACTTCTACAAAAGTACTTTTATAAGTCTATGGAAGTACTTTTTGAAAAGTTCTTTTGCAAAAGCACTTTTTGAAAAGTACTTCCATAGACTTATAAAAGTACTTCTACAAAAGTACTTTTATAAAAGTACTTACTTAAAAGTGCTTTTGTAAAAGTGCATTTATAAAAGTGCTTTCATAAAAGTACTTTTGTAAAAGTGCTTATGTAAAAGTTCTTTCATAAAAGTGGTTTACCAAAAGTGCTTTTATAAAGTACTTTGTAGAGAAGATGGGCCAAATAGCCCATAGGCTCTTTATCTTTTATGTTCTTTGCTGTAATGGGCCTTAATCTGGGCCTATCCTTTCTTATGTTATGTCTTTTTCATTTTCCGCCCAACTAAGGGCTTCTCTGTAAATTACCAAAGTTTAACTTAATAAAATAGAATTAAGGGTGTAAGAGAAGAGATTATGTTCGAAAATCTCTCTCTCTGAACCCTAGTTGCCGCCATCTTCTTCTTCAACTTCTCCCTTCTAGAATTCTGATTTCTGCTATTTTCTTTTGACTTTTTGCATCTTTCTAAACAGTACTTTTCTCTCAAAGGCTGTTTTTCTTTCTTTTTCACCTTTTTTTTCCCATACACAGTGTGTATGCAAAACTGAATCGTATGAATAGTTAAAGACACCTTTTTCAGCCCAGTTATTAATGGTTTCTGGAGAGAAGAGGACTGACTTTGTCGCCCCCTTGACAGATTTAGGGGTGTTGCCCAAAACCCTAATTTTCTGGAGAAATCTGATTGCGGGCCCCACAGGGAGTTTGACCTATGCGCTCAATGACTGAAGGCTTTCTTATTCTCCTTCTTGAAGATCGAATCAAGTGGTTTGGTGTTCTATGAAGTCTACAAGGAGCGGCTGAATTTTCTCTGTTTCTCCCAGCTTCCGGTTGTGACATAGATTTCGGCTACGGCTACATAGAGGTTGGCTCACAACACAGTTTTTGTTCTGTCTTCATTTGGTGTTTTTTGAAGTTACTTGAAATCTTTTTTGAGGTGTTTAAGAAGATGAACCCATCAGACATTGAAAACAAACATGTTGAATCCGGACAGGATCCGAGAGCCTCTGTTGACTCTCTACGAGCTGTGACCACAGTCAAGCTGGATGGAACTAATTATGTGGCTTGGTCACAATCAATAAAGATTCATATTTGTAGTAGAGGCAAATGGGGTTTTATCTCTAGGAGCAAAAAGGCTCCTTCGGAAGATGACCCATCATATGAAAAGTAGGTGCAAGAAAATTATATTGTTATTGGGTGGCTTGTAAACTAAATGCAGCCACAGATTAGTCAGCACAATTTGTGGATAAATTCAGCAAAGGAAATTTGGGATAGTGTTGCTGAAACCTATTCCCAAAAATTAAATGTGGCCAGAGCTTACAAGTTGAGAAGTGATGTGAAGAATTTAAGACAGGGGGAGAAACCATTAGCCGTATACTTCTCAA